ACGGTATTCAACTTGAATTTTGGACGTAGACCAAAAAACATGTACCCTTTGGCCTACCATGACCTCAAATTATGGCCCCCCCCGAGAGAACACCGGCCGCCTCCAAAAGAGGCGGCGGGGTTCCCCGTCCGTAGCACTTATCACGGGTTCGCAGCTGCTCTGCGCGTCCTGGGGAGGTACATTTGTTGCGCACCGGAGACGACTCGACGCCGCTGAGATCGGAGATCAAGCTCTGACAGGTCACACGTCGCTCCTTTGACGCCGACGTGACTCACCCGTGCAGATCACATCAGGACACGGTCTCGACGCGCTCGGTACGACGCCTGCGACCCGTCTCGGGTCAGGTGGCTTGACGCTCATCGCGCCTGCCAGCGCTGCCGTACAGATTGCCACGACGAGGTCGAGCACGCTTCTATACGCTCGCCGAGCCTTTCTTTCCATCCCATTAGGCAGCCTGGGAACGGTGACGGTCAGAGGCAAAGCCTACGAGGGGTGGTGGAACCACATGTCACGGCTACTGCCGGCTCGACCCCACGATAGCCTCCGAAGGCTGACTTTGAGGCACCATCATCGGACGATGTCGACGAGTTGGGTCGCTCTCGCGGTAGCCAGATGACCTCCCATGCTAGTACCATCGGCTAGGGCCGCAGGAAGCGGGGGAGGGCGCTGGGAGCAACACGGAGCTCCGTTGGACGTTTTCAAGATTAGCGTGTCAGAGTGAAACGGAAGATGGAACTAGCCCTCCCCGAGCGGGGCGGGGACCGGGGTCTGCCCCGTGCCCGTGCCCCCGTCCGCCGTCGGGCCGTCGGGTTGCTGCCCTAACCCCACCAGGGGTAAATAAATAAATAAAACGGACACCTCTCTACTGTGAGATGGGTAAAAAGGAACAGGTCCCCGCCCTTGCGATCTTTGTGCAGGGTTCCCACCAGGGGTTGTCTCACATGTCTGCTCTATTTATTTATTAATTTATTATTATCCACACACACGCGGGTCGCGCTCTCTCTGCAGAGCCAGGGAGGTCGCGCTCGCGGCGGCCGCGGGCCGGCGCACACGTGACGACGTCAAGTACTCGACGTCCACGTGCACCTGCACGTCTCGGCGTGGGCCATGGTTGCGTCCGCATCACTCTCCGTCAAGACTGTGTTCTGTAACACAGTACTCTACTCGTACTCCCCGAGATCCGCAGTGTGAGCTGACGACCGGACTGACGTGTGCGCATCGCGTGTGTGCGACGTGAGAAGCATCAAGCAAGGCGCCCTGCAGCCTGCTGGTGCTGCCCCTGCGCCCTGGCTCGGGCGACTAGCCTGACGAGCCACCGGTGCGCTGGGGTTGCTGCCCCACCGTCCATCCCTCCTGAGTACCCCCCCTCCCACCAGAACCGTCTCCTCGGCGATGCACCTCGGATCCTCTCCCCAGTCCCCGCTCCCACCCGTCGCGGCGACGGGCCGCCCCGTTTATCAAGGCAACGGTGTTGCGCGCCTGCGTCCCGCTCATGCACAGACCCTCCCGCGGATGGAAAGAGACGGCTTCCTGTGCGTCCCCCTCTCCCTCCGCGCGGCTCTCAAAGCTCTCTGCGGGCCGCGGCCAAAGCCCTCCGCCTCCTCTCGGGTGGTCTCACTGCGCGCGGCCAGAGCGGCCCCCCTTGACATAGCACCACTTTGATCCGGGCGGCCAAGCGACGCGCCTATATGAGACGGCGTCGAGACGGGGTCTGAGAGGCGGCTGCGAGCGAAACGGCCATGGGGCAGCCACGCCCCGCGCGCCAGCCGCACGCCGCCGCGGCGCCGCATGACAAGCGCGACCAGCGCCAGTGGCACATCTGCAGGGCGCGAGGGGAGGCGCCTCGGAGAGAAGTGGGGGAGCAGTCGAGGCTCCTCCGCCACCGGAAGAGCCTCTTCCGCCACCGGAGGGCTCCTCACTTGTGGGGGCGGGCGCGGGCGGCGGAGAAGCAAACGGCCAATCTCGGCCAATCTCGGCCATCCTCGGCCAACCTCGGCGAATCTCGGGCGGATCTCGAGCGGACCGGCGCGGGCGCGGCGAGGCGGAGGAGGGAGGCCGGGCGCGGCGCCGGAGGCTGCGGGGAGAGGCCGGCGGGCCAGGTCGCGCCGGACGCCGCCGCGAGGACGGCGAGGAGCAAGGCGAGGAGCGGACCGAGCAGCGAGCAGTGCCTGCGGCGCGAGGGGCGGGGCGGTTCGGGTCGCGCGGGGGGTGGAGGGACCGACGGGCGAAGGGGTGGTGGAGTGGGGACTCTCCGTGTCGGTGGCGGGTGCGATGGTGCAGGTGCGATGGCGGCGGGCGCGGTGGCGGGAGCGATGGCGGCGGGCGCGGCGGCGGGAGCGACGACGGCGGGTGCGAGGCGGATGCGATGGCGGCATCGCGGGTGGCGAGTCACCTCGCGCGGCGCTGGACGCGCGCCTCTGGCAGCAGCTCATCGGCGTCGCTGAGTGGTCCGGCGCGTGGCATCTCGAGCTCGGCGGTCGGCAAGCTCTCCCCGCCGTCTGGCGAGGCGGCGAGCGCCTAGTTGATGACATACCACATCAGTCTCACTACTACGACAGATTTGAATTGTCTGGCGAGGGCGGCGAGGGCGAATAGACGACACCGCTGAAAGAAGGCGAGAGACGACGTGCCTCCCTCTGTGGCCCCGTCCGTGCCTCGTACCCCTCTTTCCACCCCTCCCCTCCACCCCCCTCCCCTGTTACGATGTGATCCTCTTCCCAACTCTGCCCGGAACATAGCCTTCGCCCGGAACATAGCCTTCTGCAGCAGCCCCACATTGCGGCTCAAAGAGCCCCCCCCCCCTCGTCACTGTACCCACGAGTGTCTCTCCAGTCTGGGGCGAGCGCCTTGCGCACGCGCGCGAGCGGGGAGAGGAGCGGGTTGAGGCGCGCGAGAGTCGGCGAGTAGGACACCTGGTGAAGAGGGAGGACGCACTCTCCTGGCGGCTGGCAACGGTGAGGCGCGGCGTGAGTAACAACCTCCCGTGTGCGTGTATGGTGTTTGTGTGTGTGTGTGCGCGTGTGTGTGCGCGCGTGCGTGTGTGCGTGCGTGCGTACGTGCTGCGTGCGTGTGCGCGTGAGGGTGCGTGTGTGCGTGTGTGTGCGTGTGTGTGCGTGTGTGTGCGTGTGTGTGTGCGTGTGTGTGTGTGTGTGGGAGTTGCG